TTTATAGTTGAGTTTTAAGGACTGAACTTATAAATAACCTAATATTTTATGGACCAAAGATGAAATTCCCATGTGCACAAGTTGGCCACTTGCACAATTTGTCAACTTGCCAACCAAAGATGAATTATCCCATGTGCACAAGTTGGACACTTGCCAACTTGTCAACTTGCCAACCAAAGATGAATTATCCCATGTGCACAAGTTGGCCACTTGCCAACTTGTCAACTTGCAAGTCTTCAACTTGTCAACTTGTCAACTTGCAAGCCTTCAACTTGCCAACTTGCAAGCCACACATAACAAATATCCACCTTGGCTTGAAATTACCAAGCCTACTCAACTTCTTCAACTCCTCAAATTTGATGAAGTTATTTTAATGTAATGCCTCTAATTGCGCTCACAAGTGCCACACACTCGAAGGTGCTCAAACTTTCAGGATGTTAATCAAGTTCAAACAATGATTGAACTTGATTACTGTTACCACCTTGGTCATCATATCTACAGGATTTTCTGCTGTCGTAATTTTCTGAAGTAGAATCATTCATTCTTCAAAGATCTCACACACAAAGTGATACCTCACATCGATATGCTTAGTCCTTGAATGATAGACTTGATTTTTCGCTAAGTGAATAGCGCTATGACTGTCACAATAAAGACTAATGTGACTTTGAACAACTCTCAAGTCTTTTATCAACCCGTTAAGTCAAATTGCTTCCTTCACAGCCTTTGAAACTGCCATGTATTCTGCCTCTGTAGTAGACAAAGCCACCGTAGATTGCAAAGTAGACTTCCAACTAACTGAGGCTTTAGCAAGAGTAAACAAATACCCAGTAGTTGATCGACGCTTATCTAAATCACCAGCATAGTTGGAATCAACATATCCAACCACATACTGACCAAGTGCTTCATCATGTTCAAAAACTAAACCAACATCCATGGTTTGTTGGAGATATTGTAGAATCCATTTCACAGCTTACCAATGTCATTTTCCAGGATCATGCATGTACCTGCTCACAACTCCAACTGCTTGTGAAATGTCAGGACGCGTACACATCATTGCATACATCAAGCTCCCAACTGCATTAGCATATGGAACTTTTTCTATATACTCTCATTCTTCATTAGTTTTAGGAGATAACTAAGAACTAAGTTTCAAATGAGAAGCCAATGGGATACTTACATGTTTGGTATTTTCATTCATGCCAAAACATTGTAATACATTTCTTAGATACTGCTTCTGTGTTAAACAAAGTTTTTCTCTTTGTTTATCTCTGCTTATCTCCATACCAAGAATTTTCTTGGCCTCACCTAAATCTTTCATCTAAAACTCTTGATTCAACTGAGCCTTTAATTTGTCTATCTCCTTTTGACTCTTCGAAGCGATCAATATATCGTCAACGTACAAGAGAATATAAATGAAAGATCCATCTTTGAGCTTTTGGAAATACACACAATGGTCATATTTGCTTCTAGTGTACTTTTGTCTCCTCATAAAGCTATCAAATCGCTTATACCACTGCCTCGGAGATTGCTTCAATCCATATAGCAATTTGTTCAGCTTACAAACCCATTTCCCACAACTACCATCTTTGTATCCTTCTGGCTGAGTCATATAAATCTCCTCTTCTAAATCACCGTGCAAGAAAGTTATTTTTATATCAAGTTGAGCTAGCTCTAAATTCAACTGTGCTACCAAGGTCAACAATATTCTAATGGATGAATGTTTCACAACAGGGGAAAATACTTCATTGTAGTCGATTCCCTCCTTTTGAGCGTAGCCTTTAGCTATCAACATTGCCTTGTAGCGAACATCTTTCTTTCTATGAGATCTATCTTTCTTTGCAAATACCCACTTGCATCCAATTGCTCTTTTACCTTTCGGTAATTTTGCCAGTTTCCAAGTGTTGATCTTTCGAAGAGATTGCATTTCTTCATCCATGACATTTTTCCACTTATCACTTTCCAAGCTTTGTTTTACTTCTTGGTAAGTGATATGGATATCATCATCAACAACTAGAAGAGCATAGGCCACCATATCATCAAATCGAGCAGGTCTACGAATTTCTCTCCTTAACCTAGTAACTGTAAGTGGTTCTGGTGTCTCCAATGGTTCTTGGGTTTGAACCTCTTCATATTCTGATTCTTTCACATGATAATAAGTAGTGGATCCAAGCTTGGATTCATTCACATGATAATAAGTAGTGGATCCAAATACATATAAGAAATCATAATCAGTAGCAGGTTTTCCAGACTATACCTTCGATGGTGTTTTTCCTCCTATCGCTGATGACGACAGACGATTAATGAGATGACCAGCATATGTCACGGCCTCAGCCCAAAATGCCTTACCTAACCCAACATTAGACAACATACACCAAACTTTCTCCAATAGTGTTCGATTCATACGCTCTGCCACCCTATTCTGTTGTGGTGTATTTCTAACAGTGAAGTGTTGAACAATAACATACTCATGGCAAACGTCAAAGAATGGATCACTTTTATATTCCCCTTCATTGCCCGTCCTAAGACATTTAATCTTTCTACCAGTCTGGTTCTCGATCATATTTTTTCATTTAAGGAAAATTCGAAGCACTTCATCTTTAGACTTACTCTTCTGGAAAAGTCATCTACAAAAGTTACAAAATAATTGTTTCCTCCCAAAGACGGTGTCTTTGAAGGACCCATACATCTGAGTGAATATAATCCAAAATACCTTTTATATTATGTATAGAGGTGCCAAACTTCACTCTCTTCTGCTTTCCCAGAACACAATGCTCATAAAAGTTCAATTTGAAAGCCTTTGCACCTTTCAACAATCCTTTCTTTGTCAAAATTTGCAAGGATTTCTCTCCAGCATGTCCTAACCGCATATTCCACAACTGGGTTGTGTCCAAATCATCGCCTCCGGAAGCTGCTACAACTACTCCAATAATTGTACTACCGTGGTAGTAATACAAATTATTTTTCCTGATGCCCTTCATGATCACAAGTACGCCAGATATTACTTTTAAAACTCCATCTCTCATAGTGACTACTGAGCCTTTGGATTCCAAGGCTCCCAACGAGATGAGATTTTTCTTCAAACTGGCCACAAATCAGACATCATTCAGAACTCTGGTTGATCCATCTTGATTCTCCAATCGAATTGAACCTATCCCAACAGTTTTACAAGCATTATCATTACCCATATAAACAACTCATGCATTTAGTTCTACTAAATCGGAGAACCACTCTTGATTAGGGGACATATGATAGGTGCAACCCGAATCTAATATCCACTCATCTGAATGGAATATTGTTGATGAAGCAACTAATGTTATGTCAGATTCATTGGCATCATGCTCTGCAACATATGCATCTGGAGTAGTTTTTCCTTTCTTCTTCAGCTTCGGACAATCTTTCTTCCAATGGCCTTTCTCATGAAAAAAGACACATTCATCTTTTCCCAGTCTAGACTTCTACTTTGATCTCCCTTTCCTCTTTGGCTTTTGAATTTTCGAGCGACCTCTTGCCACCATGGTCTCAGCTCCTTCGTACTTGCTCTCCTTCTTGGTTTTATTCCTGAGCTCATAACTATACAAAGCAGCAGTTACATCTTTAAGGGTAATATTATCCTTACCATGAAGTAACGTTGTCTCAAGGTGCTCAAATTCATCTGGAAGAGATGAAAACAACATCAAAGCCAAATCTTCATCTTTGAAGGTTTCATCCATGCCCAATAAGTCTGCTACTAGATCATTGAACGCAGTGATGTGTTCATTCATACTGGTGCATAGTTGATAATAAAATCTGAACAATCTTTTCTTCATGTGGAGACGATTCTTAGAGCTTTTCTTTAGGAATTTTTCTTCCATTGTTTTCTACAACTTACTTGCGGAAGTCTCATTCTTGTAGCCATATTTCTGCTCCTTGGAAAGACAATATCAAATCGTGTTGTATGTCAAATGATTGAGTATTCCCCATTCTTTATCCTCCATATCTATGGGCTTTTCTTCCTCAATGACGATGTCTAGACCTTGTTGGAATAAAGTGTTTAACACCTCGCCTTGTCACATGCCAAAATGATCGGATCCATCGAACAACTCCACCGAGAAGTTTGCATTTGACATCACCCTCCTCACCGGTCTAGTAGAAGAGTTTGATGTCTCAATTGATTCGTATTTTGACATTTTAATTCTAACGAACTATATTTAATAGCACAAACTGTATCTTTTCAACAACGGGACCACCAGGATAACCTCAACCGAAGCTCGAATACCAATTATTGGGGAAACCGAGTTATTTATCAGACGAACGTAGTTTCAAAATTGATCTGAAAAATCAAGATCAAAACCACTAAAGGTTGCACAGCAAACAAACCCGTCAAACTATTGAATATTGAAACACAATGGAAAAATCGAATAAAGAACAATAAAGGAGAGAACACACCATTTTTACGAGTTTCGACGAAAATATCGTCTACTCCTCGGGCACCACACCAGATGATAACTTCACTATCAACAAATTTTACAACAAATAGAATTTTTTAGAATTTCCGAAGTGAGACAATGAAGAAAACAAATGGAATAGAGAATTTGTTTTAGGATGATTTCTAATGTAAATACTTAGGCTATTTATAGTTGAGTTTTAAGGACTAAACTTATAAATAACCTAATATTTTAGGGACCAAAGATGAAATTCCCAATTGTACAAGTTGGCCACTTGCACAACTTGTCAACTTGCCAACCAAAGATGAATTATCGCATGTGCACAAGTTGGCAAGTTACCAACTTGCAAGCCTTCAACTTTCTAACTTGCCAATTTGCAAGCTACACATAACAGTATGATCTACGACAAGTTACTCAAACTCAGAGATGACCCTTCATCTATCAGTTTGTTATCCTCCTTCTACCGCTGAACTCTATGACCCTCAGCCTCGATATGCTCGAGATCGATTTCAATGATTCTGTAGAAGCCTTCGTCTCAATTTTCTGAAGGCAAGGTTGACTAGTTTTAGCAAGGTGATGACAAGGTAGTACTATCGATAGAAGAGAGTTGATATTGTCATTGTGGCATTGGCAATGGGAGTGAGTCGTTAGGGACTTTTAAATAAAATAAGAGCTAATTCAACTAAAGATTCTCAATCTAGTCTTTAAATTTTAATATATTCTGATTAATTTAGATATTACGATGAATATATTTAAAATATTGGAATAAATAGTTTGAATTCAGTTATACTATCATACCACTGCTGCTACTACAGAATCTTGATTAATTTAGATATCATACCACTGCTGCTGGCAGGTATAATTAGCATCTTGTACCGGAGGCAAGCATGCTACTTAATAGTCCTCTTTTAAATGAAAAAAAAAGTTTTCTGTCACAGTCCATTCCTGTAGGTCTTGGTTATGGAAATTGATTTAGGAGTTGAGGATGCGATTCTCTTTTTTTTTGTAGATGAACTTCTTGCCTTGGTCCTGTAGAATAAACGAGCTTCCAATCTGGAAATGAATCCCCTCACCTCTCTTTCCTTTTTCCCGTTGGACTGGTTTTAATAGAGACTAAGGAGTGTCATAACCATTTTTAGGGTAAAACAATTATATATTATTTTATAAAACGATTAGGACTTTAATTTGAAAATTAAGTGATTTCAAATTGATTTGAATAAAATTGGATAGGAGTCGCCATTGACCTTTGGGTTAGGTAGGTCGAATACCTAAAATCGTCTTTTAAAAACAATTTGAAGAAAAATTGTTTGTTATACAAAATGATGGTCCGCGTTTATAAAGATTCGATTAAAAACGGGTTCGGGAGTCAGTTACGTGTGGGGAAGGGTGAGCACCCCCACAGCACCCAAAATTGGTATTGTGTCGCTTACACGTTGTCATACATGGTGGAAATTACAAATCGAATATAAAGTTAAAAGATGATACATTTATTAAACATTGTTTAATTTGCTTTGAAATAATTAATAACATAAAATTCTTTAACTTGAAAGGAAATATCGAAATTAGCAATGGAAAGCTAACTATCAATAAAAGAATATTCCCTCATTAATAAATATACGAATCGAATATAAATGAAAATAAAAAATTTGCATCGCATACAATGAAATAAATTGTGAATTAAAACAACACACATTGTATCAGTAAAATAAATTAATTAATTAGTAGAATAAAATTGATTTATTTCAAGTTTGTATTTGTTCGAATTTCGTACCGGATTACACCACTTCGATCAAATGGTGTTTTCCACACCCATTCTACAAATAACGTTCTTGAAAAAACATTCGAGTGAATAGATATTAGATAATAAATATTTAAAATAAATATTGAAATAAATAGCTAAATATATAAATTAATAGTGAAATAAAACAACACAAATAAAATACATAAATAAAGCGAGCATATGCACACACTCTACAGATAAATATAAAGTATACAAAATACACTTAATATATTATAAAGTAACATGTAAGACATAATAAAAAATATAAGGTAACAAATAAAAAGATTCATCGTGTACATGTATATGGCAAATATAGCATTAATATATTGAGGTATGAAACAAATCTAATATATAATTGCGTTAATTACTGCCAATATGAAAAACAAATGTCAAAGGCAGTAAATGTTAAACGTTGAATAAAAGGAAATATATATAAAAACGTTACATGCTCCAATCAAAAAGCCAAAAAAAAATAAAAGGATATAGTTGACTACACCGAGTAATAATAAATGGACATAAAAGGCATTGAAAATACAAACAAGCCGACATAAAAGGGATAAACAGACAATAAATGGACATGCATTTGGACCAAATTAAAATAAAAGAAAAAAAAGGGTAAAAAATCAAATAAAAAAACATCAGAGTTATCGAAGAGACTAAATTGATATCATTAAAAATTAGAAGCACTGCAAGAAAAATTAGCCCAGTAAATAAAATGAAACTTACATAAATTACAGGTCAGATTCGAATATCAGCAAAAATACACAATACACAAAATAGGTGACTAAAATGAAATATAAAATAAACAAACAAACTGAAAATGAAAGTTTAAAATTTCATTACATGACTAAAATACAAGTATTACAAATCAGGGACACCCCATACCAATAAACCCATGCGCTAAAATATCATCCTAATCCCTCATAAAACGACGTCGTTTCAGTTAATATATATATATGCAAAACATAGGCCAAAACAAGGTCATCTTCCTCATTTCCTTCATTCCAGCAAAACAGAGAAGGAGAGAGTTGAGAACTCTCTCCACCCACCCTCGGAGAAGAAATCAAACCACCACCGTCGGTGGCACCCAAGGCGGCGCTCACGGCTGTCGGAGGTGGCCGGAGAAAAAAAAACCCATAATGCTCCTCTCCCTCTACCCGAAACCCATCATATTTTAGCCTAAATACCACCCCTAAACCTCAGATCTAAAGAGACTTTACCTTCGAAACACCCCAGAAACTGACGACCTTTTAGACTCTTCGGTGAATCCGGCGATGGTAAGCCCTCTTCTCTCTTCTTTTTCTTTCTTTTCTGTGTTCTCTCTTGGTGTTTTGTTCGAATCAGATTGAGGGTTTAGTTGGGTTCCCTCTGTTTTTTATTTTAATATCTCTGTTTCTCTGGTTATCTCCTTTTTTTAAACCCCAATGAGCTCCTTGATTTATGTTTATTGCTTTTGTGAGACGATGATGATGCCTAGCATAGGGGAAATAATTTCTGATTTGGTTTGATTTGCCTTGGAAAGATATATTGAAATGTTTATATTTTTTCTTCTGATTTTCCTGGGGATTTGACATAACTGACACCAATTTTCTTTAATATTCCCTTTCTGACACCGTTTGACCAATATTTCCCGAAGTAGCACCCTTTCAGCTGAGTTGGCAAAGGCGCGTCCCTGGGGACGCGCTTTACCCGTGTTTTCGCTGAGTTGGATGCCACGTGTGGAAGGCGCATCCCCGGGGACACGCCTTTCGCCAGCTCGACTGCCACGTATTTTGTTTAATAATAAATATTTTATTTTTATTATTATAAATTAATAATATATTATGTAAAATGTTTCGATTATAATGTAAGAATTATCAAATGTATTTTGTTAATGTGTGTTAAAGGTGGAGTGAATTATCTACATTAATATGATATAACAATATATGAAAACCAGTTTTGACTTTATTGTAGTTATAGGAAAAATGTATGAAATTATAATATTACACATATGGTTATATTATTATTTTTGATTTTGATTATCGATATATTAATTTTATCAGTTAATTATTTAAATGTTATCAATCTAGTCATCTCATATCAATATTTAACGAAAATATTGATGCATAAGTTAATAAATTAGTATAATTACATATTTAATCTTCAAGACTTACATATTTTATAAAATTAGTCTTATTGAAAATTTAATTTAATAAATTTAATCCTCCAATCAGAACATGAAATGTGTCATCGTATACATAAATTTTTTAATAACTTTTAATTTGTTTAATTTAATATTTTTCTCTACTTAGAAGGTAGAATTATTATTATATTTAAAAAAAATTATAACTAATAATATTAATTATTTATATTAAATAAATATATTAAATATATTTATGTATTTAAAAGTTAAAAAAAATTATTTAGGTGTACATACATTGACAAATTATATAAAATCAATAACATTAAATTATTAGAAACAAAAACATTCATTTGAATACAATATTAATTACATAAGAGTTAACGGTTATATGATGATAACAGAGCTGGACATTTTTTTCTATTGTGCCCGATGTTTCTACAATGCCCACATCGTTTTTGTTCTGTTGACTTCTCCCGAATATCCATATCACAATGTATTCTAGTAGATTTTGGACGACCTTAGTCCCTCAATAGCAATGGATCTGGTACAATTGTAAGCCAAGTTTGAATCTCATTTGGGTCTCTTTCGTTTCCTATGGGCGGAAACTCAAATTCATATACCTTGAATACTTGTGAAAGTTGGTATACAGGATCAACATAATTTTTGTAGTCCAAATGCGAATGTGAGCAAGCAGCAATGACATGAGAGCATGGATATTTGAGTGCTTGAAAGAAACCACAATCGCACCACCTCTCTTGCAGATTAACTCTGAAAGAGTTAGCTTCAATCCCTTGCAGCGGACGTGGCATTTCGGTTACACGAAACAATTCACGGGTGCGAGAAAAATTTGTAACTAACATCCCATTTGATGCAGCCACTTTTTTCTGTAAATCAACTACTAGTCTTGGGTGGTAAATATGTCCGTTTTGCATCCAAGTAAGAGCTTGTCCACCGAGCTTTGCAAAGAGTTGACCCAAACGAAAATAAGTCGTTTTAACCAACGCCGTGACTGGTAAATGACACGCCCCCTTTAAGGTTGAATTTATTGCTTCAGCCAAGTTTGTTGTCATATGACCATAGCGATACCCCCCGTCATATCCATTTGTCCACATTTCTTTGCTGATATCCATAATGTACTCGCACCCCTTCTTATTTTTGCCAAACAGCTCTTGTAGCATCGACTCAAACCTTTGAGGTAAGAGTTCGTAACCTAAGCCATTAGGAATATGTAATAGTTAATATGAAGTATAAATAAGTAATAAGAAATTGATAGAAAAATTGGGAAAAAGTAACATACCCATCCGCACGACTAACTGACGTTCATCGTTCTTCTTGTATTTTCCGTAATAGTTTGCAGCAATATGACGGACACAATAACGATGTTGAACATGTGGAGGTCTATACATTTTACCCAAAGAGTCCATTGCTGCTTTTATCCCGGCTCCTCGGTCTGAAATAATGCATACTCGTTCCCTGGTGACAACATGTAAACGTAAATTTTTAAGGAAAAAAGCCCAAGACTCAGTGTCTTCTCCTTGAACGAGGGCAAACGCAACAGGAAGAATATTGTGGTTTCCATCTTGGACCACAGCCAATAATAAAACTTGCTTGTATTTCCCATACAAGAAAGTACCATCAATTTGGACAACTGGTTTACAGTACTTGACTGCATTAATACACTGAGGGTAAGTCCAAAAGACACGGTAAAATTGGCAGCGATCGCGAACCATTCGATCATTCACGTAATGATGTTGAGTTTCGAACTCAACAATTGTCCCGGGATTAAGTCTTTGCACAACATGAAACCAACTGGGCAGCTCGTTGTAAGAGGAATCCCATTCGCCATGAAGTTTGCAAATGGCATTCTGTTTTGCCAACCACGCTTTTTTATATGAGACAGTGTACCCATATTGTGACTGTATAGCAGAAATCAACACTGCAACAGCTATATGAGAGCTTTGCTTCACAATGGACATGAT